GCGGGGGGTTCTTAATAACAAGGGAAAATCAAAGCTAAAACACAGTACCACAACATTCTCATTCCTACACTACACAGCTTGAAAAAGGAAGTATATTTCCTAACAAAATCCATCATTGAATCATCAAAAGCTTCAACAAGTAATTCTCATTCATTACACTTCCAGTCCAGAAATTCATGAAAATGAACCAAGTGTTTTTCAACAGTATGTGAGATTTTCTCATCAACCTCCAAAGTATCTTTCCTTTGGAACCTACAACCTAACACAACGCCAGAAATCACAAGGGAATCCCAATCAAAACCCTAGAATTCTTCCGGGGGGAAAAAAAAAGAAGCAGCAATTAAATGAAGAAATATCAATCCTCCAAGTGATTAACGACCTTAATCCCCATGGAATTAGCCGTCGCAATGATCGACTTGCAGATTGACTCCAAGGGCATGTACTGGCAGAACGGATCCGACTGCTTGATCTTCGCGATCTCGTAGATGTGCTTTACCGACAGCGTCGCCGCCTCCAAGTGTCCCGGCCGGCTGCTCCCGCCCTCGATCCCCGCCGCTTTTTTCAGGTACCACGTGGCAGCCGGAGACTTCACGATGAAGTCGAAAGTGTTGTCCTTGTAGGCCGTGATGGTGACGGCCATCGGAGTGTCGGGCTTGTACTTCTGAGTACGGGCGTTGAAGTCCTTACAGAACGCCATTAAGTTCAGCCTGTACTGCCCCAGCGCCGGCCCCACCGGCGGGGGTGGCCGGGCGCCCCCCCCCCCCTGGCAGCCACTGGGCGCCGCATTAGGATCTCCTTTAGAGTCGCCATTGATGATTGATGTCTAGTGAATTGGAGGTTTTGCCGTCTTCCTTTTCTTTCAGTTATGGGCGTGGTATGGGAAATGTGGGCCTTGCCTGTGTTTATAAGCCCATCCGTTATAGGCCCAAAACGAAGCCCATCATGCTTGCTTATTACATTACACCTATTACTAAAGGAGGCACCCGGTTCACTGTACTAAGTACAGTGCCGGGTCCTTCTTATACTTTTTCTTTGAAAAAATTCCGAATGTGTCCTAATTTTGTGTTTTTACCGTTTTAGCCTCGGTTCTTTTTTTTACTTTATTTTTTGTATGGGTATTTTCGTAATTTTCTTATTTGAAAAAATTTCGGCTGTGTCCTAAATATATGTCTTTGCCGTTTTATCCTTGGTTGTTTGTTTTTGCTTTGTTTTTTGTTTGAGTATTTTCGTACTTTTGACTCAAATTAATACTATAATGATTTTTGTTATTCCTCGAAGCTTCTATCTTCATGTCTTCTGGACAATTCTTTTGTTTCTTTTCTTCTCTCTCTCATCCTTTCCGTGAAGCTTCTTTTCTCCTCTTTGTCTGCAGCTTTTTTCACGTGTTAATGGATCTTCAGAGTTCTAAGCTTTTTTTAATCTGAATATATGCTTTTCGTCTTCTTCTTCTCTCCATTTTTTCTTTGTCTTTTCGTTTGGGTTTCTTATGCTTTGCATTTGTGCTTCTTGCATTTTTTGGGTGGTTTTCGGTCCAGAGAGGGAGAGGTTTATCTTCATTTCCAGAAGAAATTTTTATCCCTTCTTCATGTTCAGTCGTCTGACTTCGATTTTATCAGGGCTTGGAATTTTTCCTTTTTTTGGGTTATTTAAACTCTGCTATTTCAGTTTTTGTTCGTTCCCCTTTTTTTTCTTATGTTTGTAAATTAGGGTTTCGTTAGATTTTTTTTCATTTTGTTTTGTTGATTTATTTATTTTGTTGATGTTTAGAAAGAAATTTTCAATTGTTTTTGTTAAAAATTAATTTTTTTCACTTTGAATGTATTTTAGGGTTTCTTCTTCAAAAATTTTTTTTAAAGAGGCTTTTAGAAGATTTATTTTGTTTTTAGTTTTTTAGTCGTTTTCACCGTTGATGTTTAGCTGTTTCAGGGGTTTTTTAATTGTTTTAGGTCTTTTTTTTGTTCTATTGTTAATTTTTTTCTTCCTTTTTTTTGTTTTTGATATTTTTTTTTCCTTTTCCGATTTGTTTCAATGTTGTTTTCTGTATCTCTTTAACATTGGTTGTGTTTTTCTATTTTCAGAAATGTTTCTCTTTTTTTTATTACTTTCGTTTTTATTTTTTATATGCATTATTGCACATGTTGTTAACTAATCATTACATCTGTTCATTATTTATTTTGTAGATGTCTAGAAATAATTTTTCAATTGTTTTTGTTTAAAAATAATTTTTTCACTTAGAATGTATTTTAGGGTTTCTTTTTAAGAAATTTTTTTAAAGATGCTTTTAAAAGATTTATTTTTTTTTGTCGTTTTCACCGTTGATGTTTAAGATGTTTCAGAGGTTTTTTAATTGTTTTAGGTGTTTTTTTTTATTCTGTTGTTAATTTTTTTTCTTACTTTTTTTTTGTTTTAGATTTTTTTTTCCTTTTCTGATTTGTTTCAATGTTGTTTTCTGTGTCTCTTTAATATTGGTCGTGTTTTTCTATTTTCAGAAATGTTTCCCTTTTTTTATTACTTTCGTTTTTATTTTTTATATGCATTATTGCACATGTTGTTAACTAATCATTACATCTGTTGATATTTATGTGTTGGTTTTGTTATTAGATATTCACCATCTTTTTCTTCTTCCGGTAATTTTCTTACGTTTTAAATCCGCATAATAGGTTTGTTAATTATTTGTGACTCTTTATTATTGGATTATTTTTTCTGTAGTTTACATGCTTTCTTACACCTGTTCTCAATCAGTTATTTCACCTGCTGGTTTTTCTTTTTTAGATTTGTTATCGGATAATAACCAGAAGTTTCCTCTTTGTGTATATGAACCCTGTTATTTTTTTTATTACCACCGTTTTTCACATTGTTTTTCTTTTTGTTTTCTCACTGTTAACTTATATCTTCTGTTACTTTTTCTCTTTTCATGTTCCTCATCAAAACTCAGACTTTAGTTGTTGTGCTCTGTCTGTTATATAGATTGCCTTTCTTCATTTTAGGTATGTATTATTATATTCTTGAATATGTTTGTTAATTGTTTTGAAGAAAATATTTTATTTATCGTTAATGTTTATGATAAACGCTGTTTTGAAAGAATTATCATATTTATCATTAAAGTTTATGATATGATTTTGTTTCTTTAGTATGTGATATGTTGATTTTATTCTAATCATGTTTTGTCTTATACCTTTCTTAAAGTTTTGTTCTTCTGCTCTGTTTGCTCTATCCATTTACTTTCTTCGTTTTAGGTATGTATTCTTCTTCGTTTGAGGTAATGATGTTGTGTTTTTTTTTTTTGTTACCATGAATTACATAACTGTTAGTTAAGTTTATTTCAAAATTTTTTATCATTTTTATTGTTTTGTTAATATGTTTTATTATTAGGAGTCATTATTTTAGTATACTTTTATTTCTCTAAAAATAATATCATGTTACTCTGTTGGCTATGATTAATAGGAGTTTATTTTCATGTTTAGTTTCGCTAATAGGAGTTTTTATTTTGTTTTATTAGATATCATTACTATGTTTTATTTTGTTAATAGAAGTCTTTACTCTTAGTGTTACCTCAATTATCTAGGATTATTTTGTTATCTTTTTTTTTTACATTATTTTCTTCATGTTATTCTTATGTTGTACGTTCTTAAATTTTTTATCTCCTTTTTTGTTCTTCTATATTTGATTTCACCGGTTTTTTTTTTCTCTTTATTTTCTGTTCAGTTCCTTAATGTTTTTTGTTCTTTCATATTCATCATAAATGCGTAATAATTTGTTTAGTTGGCAGCCATGGACATAAATAAAATACTTGAACCTTATATTGTTATCTCTTTATTTGTTCTTCTATATCTCATTTTACCAGTTTTTTTTCCTTTATTTTTCTATTTAGTTCACTGATGTTTTTTGTTCTTTCTTATTCAGCATAAATTCTTAATAGTTTTGTTCACAGCCAAGACATTGTCAAGTCGTGTTTAAATTATTGATGACATATGTTGCTAGCAGATTAAAGGAAATATATGAAACCTTATATGTTTTATTTATATATGTAAAAAAACAGTTTTCTAGATATAGAAATTTATTATATATTTAAATATTTTTGTGACATTTATGAAATTCTGAGTCATGTTTTGTTTGTTTACTTTAATATTATTGTTTTATTCTAATTTTTTCCCGGCTTTTTTCTCTTATTTATTTAGTTGATATATGTGAAGAATGTATATTTTTTTATCTACGGACAAAAAAATTAAATCTAATTTATTTATTTGTCATGCTTTATTAAATATTTAAATAAATATTTGATAACTATACCACCGTGCAAATGCACGGGTAACACACTAGTAAATACTAGAATACACGATTCATACAAAGACAAGACAAGACAAGACAGTGTATATATCTTTGTCGTTGTTGCCCAAAAGCTGGAGTCTTTGAGATGCGCCTCTGCTGAGCAACTGCAAACGCTCGGTTATTATTATCTCTTAGTGAGTTTTAGGGGCTGTTCGGTGGCTTTATTTTTGAGTTAAAAACTTAAAAAAAGAACTCGAGTTATAAATTTATTTGAGTTCATGTTCTTTTAAATTTAAACTCGAGTTTAAGTTTTCCTTTCAACTCGAGTTCAGAAACTCAAACTCAAATTAATGAACATTATTTTTTCTATTCTTAAAAATGCTATAACTTTTTCGTTTTAATTCTAATTGAGATGACTTTTTTTTCTATGCGTTGATAACGAAAAGACGAATAAAACCCCACCCATATACCCTATTAACATTTTATATCAGCATTGAGTTTTTATTAAAATACTATCTAAATACAAATTCAAGTTTTGACTCACTCAAACACAAACTTAAAAAGATTCTTATCTCAAACCATAACTCAAATGTACACAACCAAACACAAACTCAAGTTACAACTTCAACTCAAGTTATAACTCAAACTCAACTCAAAATCTACACTCAAGTCACCTAACTCAAAAAGGGCAAAAGAACATAGAGTTTTAGACTGAGATACCTAGGGGTTGTTCTTTTGTGATGAAACTCAAAAAAAGTTTAAATTTGAGTTATAATTTTATTTAAATTTATGTTTTTTTGTAAAATTTGAGTTTGAAGTCGAGTTTGAAGCTAAACTCGAGTTCAAGTTTCCCCTTCAACTCGAGTTCATAAACTCGAACTCAAGTTAATGAACAGTATTTTTTTTATTCTTAAAAATGTCATAACTTTTTCGTTTTAATTCTAATTGAGATAATTTTTTTTTCTATACATTCACAACGAAAAGACGAATAAAATTCCACATATATACCCTATTAAAAATTTTTATTACCATTGAGTTTTTATTAAAATACTATCTAAATATAAATTTAAGTTTTAACATACCCAAACACAAACTCAAAAAGATTCTCAATTCAAATCATAACTCAAATATGCACATCCAAACACAAACTCAAGTTACAACTTCAACTCAAGTTATAACTCAAACTCAATTGAAGATCATCACTCAAATCATCCTAACTCAAAAATACAAAAAAACAAACAACCCCCTAGTAATCGAGCTTTTGAAGTTGATCATACTATTATTTCTTTCATTTCCTTTCCTTGCTAGTATAGTATTGGGATGTTTGTTTCAATATTTAGTTCTGAATTAGGGTTCTTTAGTTCTGAATCATGGTTCTTAATTTTTTACAATATTTTTTTCTCAAAAAAATTTAAATTTTAAAAATCAGAATCATAAATTATATGCCGTGTTTGGATTTGATCCCCTTTTTTATGTTTTTTGAGAAAGAAAAATGAACATTTTCAAAACGGCATTTGGCACAATAATGAAAAAAAATGAAAATGAAAATGATTTTTTGGTTTAGTGTAAAATG